TTCCACCACATCCCAAAGGTGCTCTGTTGGATTGAGATCAGGTGATTGTGGCAGCCATTTGATTACAATAAACTCTCATGTGCAAGAAACCAGTTTGCACTCGGTTTGGTCTTCTGCTGTTGTAGCCCATCTGTTTAAAGGTTTGATGTGTTGATGTGTTCAGAAATCCTCTTTTGCATACCTTGGTTATAACAAGGGGGCATTTGAGTTACTATCGCCCTCCTGGCCTCCTCTGACCTCGGGCATCAAAAGGCAACCAGGGTATTTTCTGTTTTTCACACCATTCTCTGCAAACCTCAGAGACACTTGCTGATCTACTGGGATTTTCCTGCATAGTTCCTGAAATACTCAGACCAGCCCATCTTACAACAACAACCATGCCACATTCAAGTCACTCAAATCACCTTTTTCTCTGAACACTCCCCCATTTCAACATCGGCAGGTCATCTTGAAGATGTCTTCACACCTAAATATATTAAGTTGTTGGCAAGCGACTGACTGAGATGTTTGTTTGATTAGATGTTTGCTTGAAGGAATAGTTGAACAACTGTACCTAAAAAGTGGTGAGTTTGTGTATTTACCTGCAAAATCAGAAACATTGATCTTAATTTAGCCCAGCTTAACCCTTTAAAGCCGGTCAGAGCGGGCACGCTCTGTTTTGCGCAACTATTGCTAAATCCCGGTAGCACTGCAACCACATAAGCTAGTGCAATAATTTTTTTTGCATATGAAACCGGAGGAGTTGTACTTACATCTTATGCCATCAGCTTGTCCTAGGTCACGGTTTCCTTCCACATATAGCTTTGCAAAAACTGCATAAAAAGCACTTGCAGCAACAAAAACATAATATTCCAGAAACATGCTTTGCCGATCTGATCAGCTGTTCGTAACACTTCCTACGTCCATCAGCGCGAACTATCGCATGTCCACCATGACCTGCCCGAAACCGGAAGTGACACCATTTTGCGGAAATGTAGTTTTTTACCATCAGGGTCTTGCGAACCTGTACTGGCGTTTTTAAAGGTTATGTTTGACTTTATGACTTTCTGTGTCGTTTCTGGGATGCTTAGGACTCCTATTGCACTGCTGGAAATAGTTTATTTTAATGCATATGCTGTTTTTTTGCAAATTTGCACTATAATATTTATTTTTGTTTTTTCTGCAGTATATTAAAAATTGGTGTATTTCAAAAATAAAACTATGAAGACACTTGAAATAAATATCCTGTGGTGGGAAACTATTTTGTGCAACTTTTTGGTATTTACAGTTTTGAGGGATAAGCCTCTTAAATTTCTCTAACTACAAATATATGCTAAAAAAAACAAAAATGATTTTCAATTTTTTGTAGTTTATTGCACTTTTTTGCAATTTATGTAATTACTATGCACTTAATGCATACATATTATTCAAATGTGGGCTATAATAGTTGTATTGATGTATATCAACTTGAAATGCTCCAATAAATGGCACTACAGCATGTATAAATATGATATAAGCCCTGGCGGACTTGGTTCTATGGTAGGTCTTAAAGGGTTAATAATCACAAATTCCTCTGCATACGTTCAGTTCAATGCATTCCACCCACTGGAGAGATTTCCCAAAGCAGATATTTATAATGCATTCCATAAATGAAGAGCCTAATCAGCAGATCCCTCCAGTCTGACGCCTCAATCGGTTTTCTAATCTCATTTCTAATTTATCTCACTCTGGCCCGCAACAAACCTGGTGCTGTGAAGTGCATTTTGACATTAATCCTTCAAATTTGCAGTGGGCAGTGAAGCAAGGCAAGAGTGGTTTGGCATGAATCCCATTCACAATTCAATGCATAAAACTCCATAAAGTTCATTTGTCTTCCATTCAAGGTCATCTGTGCTCTGTGAATGGTTTTAAAGTTGTGTAGATGTGTCTGTTCTCTCAGTGAGTTGAAGAAATCCTTAAGGTGCATGTGACTGCACATGGGAAACATGAAGAAGAATCAGCTTTACCATAAACATTAGCTGTAGGTACATTTTTTACTCTGTGTCAAAATAACTGCGATCCATACTGGTGATTGTTCTTGTAAGGGGCCGGGTTTGGTTATGTTCTTGTTCTTGCCATTTAGATTCTTTTGAATAACACTTTACAGCCAATACGAGATGACCTTTAACACTGTTAAGAGGTGTGTGTGTGTGTATGTGTGTGTGTGTGTGTGTGTGTGTGTGTGTGTGTGTATGTGTGTTTGCATCTTTGCAATTTTTCTTGACATTTTATCAGAAAAGGTCACAGCACTTTTGAGTTTTGTGTTTGTTGATTCTGTCCCGAAAATCAAAGCTAACGTGTGTGTGTGTGTGTGTGTGTGTGTGTGTGTGTGTGTGTTTTTCTCCTACATATTTCACAATGATTGTGGATGTTCAAGGCCCAATGCTGTGTCTATAGCGGTTTCTGAGTTGTGGTTTAGGAACATGGCATTTTCTATAAGGGTCCACCTCTGAATGTGGCTGAAGCCTGCTGTATCATGTCACTGATGCCAACAACAGGGACACTCCCATGCTGTCAAGCAACTTTAAACTCATCCATTAGTTTGATAATCTGCTCAGAAATAACTTTGCCATTTTGACAGTGCTTTAATAGGTTCTACTATTTTTCTGATACTTAGGGGTATGACAAGATGTTGAGGTTGTCAGGGGTCACCACTAACATTGTTTTGCCCATAGAAATATGTAACACTTTGAGGTTACCAGCTCAGTTAGTTCACGGTTCCGTGCATTCAAATGTCTGAAAGAATTACAGTTTACGTGTGCAAAAAGGCATCGTGGCTGAGAAAACATAACTCTTTTGATCAACAGAGTTATAATATTAGACCGCCTCAATTCTGAATATTAAAGTCACTGGTCAATGTTTTAATTTAAAATAACTACTGTTCCCTCACAGGACTGTTGTCGCACTGATAGAAATGCAGATGTGGCATGCATTTCTCTCTAAAACTTACCCACATAGTATAAGTTGCCAGAAATTTATTACTACTGCTGTCAGCTTTAATTTCGTTAAAATGACGTTAACGCCATAACCGCATTAACGCCGCAAATCTCCGTTATCGAGTTGACGCGGATCGCCCCGTGCGTGGGGCTGGACGGCGCTAACGCGTTAATGGGCTAACCGCACTAATGCATTGACGTCGTGCAGCCCCACGCACGGGGCGATCCGCGTCAACTCGATAACGGAGATTTGCGGCGTTAATGCGGTTATGGCGTTTTCATGAGATTAACCCTGGATCCGGGTGATCAGATTTAAAATTGCTCAAACAGGATATTTTGAATTTTAATTACCCTCATCTATTTTAAACATAACCTACTCTCATCAGTTCTTGTCACGGTCCGGGGCAGCGGCCGTGTGAAGAGTGGAAAGGAGGACTCAAATGCAGCACTTACTCAGATGTGAAGGCGATTTATTGACAATATCAAACATAAAGTGGAGATGGCAAAACAGAACTAAGGATGAACTAAACTGGGTGAAACTACACAAAGGAGTGGCAAACCTGAACATGAAGGGAGAACAGCAGGGAGAGCACGCAGGGGATTTCACAGGGTATGAACACAGACGACGCGACGAGGAGCAGAGGAAATCACACACTATAAGTACACAAAGAGACACTGGGAAATCACACACAGGTGGGGGAAACAGCTGGACCTGATTAACCTGACGAGACAGGGGAACACTAACACCAGGGACCAACAGAGGGAGCACAAACCCAGAACCCAATGTCTAAAATCCCAAACACAAACCATCCCAAAACAGCCATGAATAATAATGAAAGTAATAACAATAAAGAACATAAACATAAAGTCACTGAGTCATGGTCGCAGGACCATGACAGTTCTGACTGACAGCTCATTTATATATATTTATGTCTAAACTTTGCTGTTGTCTTTAAACCTGCACGAAAGATCTTATGGGCGGGTTCTGTATCTTCGTTTGCATTGTATGTTTGTGTTGTTTGTGTGGCATCCACACTCTTTGTTTGCTTCCCACATGAATGCGTAAAAACATCAAAGAGAATATTTTCGAAAGTTGTCATACTTCAGGATGAAGCCTTGGCATGACACATTCTGCACACTGAATACTAACACCAAGGTTGTGCCCTTCTACCAACTGTATATTTTAGTCCTTGTGGCATTGATGAACAAAGCCTTCTTTTCACTGAAGTCCTGAGGAGAAGCTCAATCCATAATGCAAAATAAGAGTTCTGGGATGCCGTTTGATGCCTGACCTTCGAGGGTGGTTCTCCCAGGATTTTTGATGGCACTTGTCAAAGTGTGGACCTTTTGTACTTTCCGGTGAGAAGCCTGAACTCCTTCTCTTCTTTTCCTAACTAAGGCAACATGAAATTAAAAAGAAAGCTGTCGACAGAGAGACTTTTTTTGTCCAAGCACTGATCATACTCCTCTGTGTGGAGTCTATTATATCACAGAGTCCACATAGGACAAAACAGTGAGTGGACGGACTGCTTTGAAAGGCCTGGGGTCAAAAAATTTGTGATCCCACGCTGTCATAGTTTCTGTAACACTGCAGGTGTTATAAAACCAACAGGAATATGAATGAGTGGGAGATTGCCATGATTGAAATGTCCTAAAGCAACTCTGTGCCTTTGTAATATCCTCCAAGGTGTGGGAGAGGCAAAAGAGAGCGAAAGTAGGACACTCGGGCGTAAAGCAGAGACAAAAAGGTGGAGCTGCTTGCTACTTTGCTGGCCTGAGCCTGCATACAAGTTGCCCTCAGGCACTGGTTCACAATCAGTATATTTTGTCCTGATTTGCAATGCTGCATGGCAAAGCCTTATCCTCAGCTCTGTGTGCTCCCCGTGGGTATAATATGTGTGTGTGTGTGTGTGTGTGTGTGTGTGTGGGTGTCTTTCGCAAAACAGCTTAGGTTTTCTTGTCACTTAACAAGGAAAGCATGACATGATTATATGAGTTCATAACAGACAGAAATGTTGAAACACTTTTTCTTTGTATATCTTCCAGAAGAGCTCCACCAACTCAGATCGAGGCTTCTGAGAAATGAGCTGCCAATGTAAGTCCCTTGGCTGACCTCAGCGCTTCGCTGGTAATGTTGCTTTTAAATTAATTAAACTGACTGAAAGTTATAATTGAGTACACAAACACTCGTGCATGCACAGAGTGATAACCTTGTACCCCAAACCTATCCCTCACTTCACCTCACTACCCATCAGGGACAGAGTTTGCCGCTGACATACACTAATTTATTAGCAGCTAATTGCTATCCCTTGCAGACATTCTGGTGGGACATCAAAGGATGACACTCCTCAGGAGAAACGATTGAAATTCAAATTTCAAACAATACCCTTTCCCTCTGTATGGTGCTACGGACTCGCCGCCTTTGGTTTTAGTTTGTCATCCCAAGTGCATGGAAGGCTTAAGGCTCTATCAATAATGGATGAGGATTTGAGACTTTACAGTGGGTTTTCCAGGAGATTCGGTGCTTCCATTTAAAGCCCTGCAAGACTGGCACTCTGTATACCTGGAAACTGCTGTTGTCGCTTTGAAGCAGTTCTTGAGGCAGTATAGTCGCTCAGTGCTGCTTACAGAAAAAGATAAGAAGCTGTAACTTTCAGAGAAGCACCGCAGCTGTACACATGGGATTTTAGGGTGAAGTCTATGCTGCGGTCTTTCATAGTGCATTCACTTCTAAAAGCATGCTGTAGCAAGCTGAGGCCCACACAACAAAAGCACTGCAAAAACGTCCCATTTGTATCATATTATGACCCGGTGTGAAATGCAGCCTGTTTTCTGTTCTTAGCTGACAGGAGTGGCACCCAGTGTGGTCTTTTGTTTCAAGGTTTGACTCAAGACTAGATAACAAAGACACTGCAAAAGCATTGCGTTTGTGTCATATTGTCCTGTAAACATTGTAATGATTTATTTTGTGTGGACAGCTTGGGGCAGTTCAAAAATCTGTTGACTATCTGGTATTATTTAATGGCGATCATATAGTATGTTTCCCACTTATAAACTATGAGAATTAGCAGACACATCATTTGCATTTTGTTTACTAGGCAATTATAAAATCAGCTTTCAGCATTTACGCTTTGTTTCTTCGCTAACTCTGGAGGGAAAAGCTAAGTCATTAGTAGCTAAATGCTTTATATGCTAGTCAATGACTTTGTGTTAATGGTGGTAAATATTCAGCTTTTTGGGGGCACATTTACTGTAACCGCGGCTAGAAATTCAACTACTGAAGACCGTGAGTAATAAGCTTAGGCCCTAGAGACTGTTCGACGACCTCCTGTGTATTTCCTGAATGGTTGGCGAGGAGTTGTTGGAGGCTGCTGGCTGTCGCTGAGTGAAATGGGTAGCAGAGAGAATTCTACACCAAAAACTTCTTTGTGATTACTTTAGGGGCTAGCGGATTGCCAAGGTCTCCCTTTGTTTACATGAAAGATGTTGGCTTATGTGCAAACATTTGCTAATTAAACACCAAGCTATAATGAAACAGAGAGCACTCTCCTTCAAAATAAAAGCTGTGCCTTACACTGAAACCAACAAATTTCAAAAAGATCCACTTTTTACTTATTTGTCCTATACCCATCACAGTTTCACTACAATTTAGTGAGTAGCTGGCAAGTGTTTTGCAGACAAATCAGCATCTTCTATGGGCAACATCAGCAATCTGCAACAACCAAAGAAATCACAAGGAAGTTTTCAGTGGAGCACCATCTCAAAGATGACCAATTTTTGACCAATTTCACCTAGCGATTTCCAGCAACCTCCAGTTACCCATCAAAGTCTATCAGGGAATACACATTTTTCCTAGCAACCGGTATTTACCAGTATGTCTCTAACTGATCTCTAGCCCTATGTGGTTGGGGCTTTAGCCGTGTACCTGCCAGCAGCCACTCACAGCTAATCTGGGAACACAAATCTTTCCCTACCAAGCCAGGGTGGCTAGCATTAGCATCAATCATTAAAACAGACAGTTGTGTCTGTTTTAATAGGTAACTGCTTATGGACCCTACAGAGATGGCTTTCAACCCATGCAAACATTCCCATGCAGAGCTTCAGAAAGCCAACACCGCCTAGCTCAACTCTGTGTGGGTCAGATGTCGATTGATTGACAAGTGGGCTGAAACAGGAAAGAGAGTGACAGTAATAGAAGAACAAACAATAACAAAAATCAGTGATTATAAAAATAAAAAAAGCACAGACAGTAGCTACAGTGGACATTTTTCATTGTTTTTAACACTTGGTTTCACTTCAGCTCTTTGTATTTTGTAACTTTGCTCCTCTGTGGAGTTGGCTGGAGGATCAGCACCACATCCTTTCGATACTTCCTCTTTCTGGCAACAGGCGTTCCCTGCTGTCTGCCGATGCAGTGCCAACAGAGAACTATGTTGAACCCATAAAACACTCTGTTGAACTGAAGCCCTCAAAGGTGGATAATAATATTTTCTCACTAGGATTGCAAGTCAGCAGCCTCTCATGTGTCCGTGCCAGGATGTTGTAAACCAGCAAGGTGGAAAAGTGAGTTACATTTTAGACGTCTCATAAAAACAGCACAGTTGGGCATTCATTCATTCATTTATTAGGGTCACATTCATTGCAAACATGTTAGTTGATGTAAAACTGCAGAGAAGGTTAGCCACACTCACCAAACATTGTGTAAATTCAATATTATGTGTGTTGCACAGTGTTTGAAATATTGATGGCGTTTAAAATTAGATGATTTTAATTAGATTCAAACTGTATTTTTGACCTTGTCCATTACATCCTGATTGTTTGTTGCGTGCTTTCCTCTTCTTACATAAGTCAGTTTATTTGGGTTTTTGCCACATTTAATCAACTAAGAAATTCATCCTAAGGAACATTTCTCATTATTCTAGAAATGTCTATAATTTGAAGGGTTTTTCTCATTCTTATTTTTGGTTAAATAAATTAAATTATCTGCCTATTTAAGCTTGTTGATTCTCTGGGAAACAGCTTGCCCTATTTTTCTACCAGTTTATTTCCTTATATATATATATATATATATATATATATATATATATATATATATAAAAACACCCAGCACGCCCCTGCGGGCGGTTTATCCTTCAAGCTCGGGTCCTCTACCAGAGGCCTGGGAGCTTGAGGGTCCTGCGCAGTATCTTAGCTGTTCCCAGGACTGCGCTCTTCTGGACAGAGATCTCCGATGTTGTTCCTGGAATCTGCTGGAGCCACTCGCCTATCTTGGGAGTCACCGCACCTAGTGCTCCGATTACCACGGGGACCACCGTTACCTTCACCCTCCACATCCTCTCGAGCTCTTCTCTGAGCCCTTGGTATTTCTCCAGCTTCTCGTGTTCCTTCTTCCTGATATTGCTGTCATTCGGAACCGCTACATCGATCACTACGGCCGTCTTCTTCTGTTTGTCTACCACCACTATGTCCGGTTGGTTAGCCACCACCATTTTGTCCGTCTGTATCTGGAAGTCCCACAGGATCTTAGCTCTGTTTTATATATATATATATATATATATATATATATATATATATATATATATATATATATATATATATAGTGGGTAAGTATAGAGACAAAAATGACCACAGATATCGACTTTTAGTACAAATCTGGCATAACTGTGTAATGTAATAATGTTAAACCGTGAAAATAGAGAAACCGCAGTTGTAATATTTAGCATTGTGTCTGCAATGTCACATTTTAATGGAAGTTTTACACTGTGTCCATATTTAAATAAAGGATTAGGACACAGCATATATCCAAAAGCTGACTAGCTCTTATATACTCAGTGTATATACCCCTAAAAACATACACAAAGACGATGCAGTCTTTATGTTTTCTTATATCACGTCACACATACACACAGAGAAATGCATTAGTATGCAGATATGGCCCTTGACATTTATACTCACAGGCAAATGAACAGACACTTCTTCAGGCCAACACATCGGCACACATGTTCACACATACAGCCACTTTCCTGCAGAAACAGTGGTCCTGCCAGCTGTGTTGCTGTGGTAAGGAGATAACAGGAAACTCCAATCACAGGTCTTCTCTCAATCCATTCCATAACACCCCTGATGGGAGTCTCCCTGGGGTTGAGGATGAGAGGGTATAGCAGACATCACACTAACAATAGGCCATGCTAGAGGTGTTGAAATTGGATCCAAAGTTTGCATTCGACACAGGCTTTTGTATCGTACATCTGTACCAAAAGTGCACTGATAAAAAATTAACCACACAAATCTTTTTTTCAATTCAAGCAGCATTTGACAAGAAATAATATGAACAATGACGGCTTTGTGAAGAAAGGAGGAAAAGGGGTGCAACTGCAGTACTGAAACATTGTGATCAAAACTGAGCACGCTCTGAGAAGGTAGGGTTGAGAGCGGGGCTGCAGTGCACAGTCATGATTGATGCATTACTCTGCCCTAGTTGTCTGCACACAAGAACAGGAAGACTGTGGCAATTTTACCCAATCCCAGTGTAAAACTTCTTTTGTCTCTTCACTTTCCCACTCCTGTTTTGTCTCTCTATACACTTGCAATATGAAGAGCTCATCCTTTGCTATTAAAAAGCCTCTTATGTGTGCAGACAGTAAGAAGCAAGCGTGGAAATCATTTTTAGCATTAAAGGGCTCTTACTGTCCTACACATAGGATATAAACTATCTCTTCCAGAGAATGCAGATTATTTCATCCCATTTCCTGCTGCCTTTTAATATGCTGCACACAATCACATCGTAACTGTGACATGCACCATTCCGTTTTTCTATCCTTTGTTGCTAGATACCTAAAAAGCAAAAATGAAATGCTGTTTCATCCCCAGAGATGAGATGTACTGTACTTCTGCCTCTGAAATCTGTTTATTTTCAGAAGAGTCACTTGAGACAAAACATTTGCTAAATGTATATGGTCTAATATATCAGGATGAATATGCTCAGAAATGCGCATCCCTTCTTGTCAAGGTCAATATCTTCTCTGACTCAGAAATCCTATTAGCGGAGATCCACATTACCTGCTTTAGTGCAGTTTAATAGGGTAATGAGTCTCAGTGGTGATATTCAAACACAGAGGGAAGGAAACC